GGGTTAGGGTTAGGGTTTAGGGTTAGGGTTTAGAGTTAGGGTTTAGGGTTAGAGTCGCACTCTCAGGGGAGAACTGATGATTTTCTTCAGTGAAACATTTTCCAGCTGCAACTGAAGACAGGAAACAAGGATCAGATAAACACGTTCCATAAAACACCGTTCTCTTGGTCACCACTCATCTGAACTCGTTCCTGTGTGTCAATCTTAAATTCATCTCCATTATACTGTCATGTAATTTAATATAACATTCAGATCAGCTGCAGCTGAGGCCTCCGACGTCATCGTTTCATCTCAGCTGCGGATGTTTTTGAAGCTGCATCAGGTGTGAGTGATCAAATTATCAGCAATAAGTCGATTCATCAATCAGTTGATGAAATATTTCTTTTTTACCACAAACATGTCATGTCATGTCTGGTGCTTGTGTCTTGGTTCTGGTTGACGTTTATCTGAACTGTGTGAACAAACAGAAACTGAACAGAATTCTTTGGTGATTCGTCTTTTGGAGAATTTATGTGTTTCTGTTTGTAATGTTCAGACAGAATCGAACGAAGGACCAAACTGTACAAATTAGGAACAAAGACACATTTCCATTTATTCTAGCCTAGGATATCTTTTCAGAAATCTGTCTATATCCTGGAAGATGGTTGGAACAGTTTTTTCTCCAGAGCTCGAGATCCATCATTAGCTGTTGCATTTACAAAAATGGGCTTTTAAAAAACACAACTTGCAGTAAATTAACCATAAATTAAGAGAACATTTCCACTTTGTAGTTACAGGACAAGTCTACAAAATGTTATTTTATACATTTACTTACCGTTTAAATTCTAACTGCAGCTACACTGTTCATTATATTTTGATATGAATTAAAGCTGCTGGAACATTTTCTGGTATTTCATGGGTTCATTCATTTCTTTCTGTCATTTAAAATCATCCTGAAGCCACTGGAGGAATATTTATGAGCTTTCTGACACTTGAACACAAGTGAACATTTTAATTTTTATCTACGTTGCAGAGCAGAGGTGCTGTCGTGTCTTTATCAGATTAATGTTCATCATAACAACACTGGAGCAAACCAGAGGCTCCACACACTGCAGCATCTCATTGTTTAGACCTGTGCAGCTCCACAGACGTCCTCATGCTGTGGGTTTGGGTTTAAAGGTGTTTCACTGTTCAGCTGGTGAAGCCGGTTATTCCTGTAGATTCTGGTCCACTTTAATATTATTTATTCTTTGTCTCCCAAACTCAGACACACAACAGATTTAAAGATCCAAAATGAAGGTTTTGTTTTTGTTTTGTACAAACTGATTCATCGAACAGCTGAACTAAATCTGAAACAAACTGCTGCAGTGTTCTTTGACAATAATCTGAACCTCCAGAACAAACTCTGCTGTAAAAGTTCTCCATCAAACGGTCTTTCTGGCAACAGAATCTGTAGCGTCTCATCAACACTGAACAGATTGTCATGATTTTCCTTGAAGGTCTGTGAACTGCAGCATCATGTCGTCAACAGACTTGATGTGAATAATCAATAATATTCATCGAAATTAAAGTGAGACTCTGGAAGAAAACTTTCTTGAAACACAGCAGACAAGAGTCAAAGTAGACGCTGAAGCTCAGCAGGGCTCCAGGAAGCTCTTAACCACAGTGGTGGAAAGTAGAGCTTTTAGAACTTTGCTGTTCTTCTTAAAAATGAGGTCTTCTGGTGAAACCCAGAGCGCAGCTGCACCGTTTATTCTGCTCATAGAAAAGAGCGCGTGTAGAAAAAACACTGGGTTTCATCTGGGAAACACGTGGCACTAGAATGACCTAGTTCATTATTTTTAAAGTCATTTCTGGTCGCACACCTGTCTGAGGACACCGCCGGTACTGCAGCCTGCACTGTGAGGCGTTCAGGGAACATTGTACAGTCCATCAGTAAGAACACGTTGGTCCAGTGATCAGTGGAGGAGCTGGTCTGGAGCCCTGTTCTGGACCAGCTCCTCCACTGGCCCGGAGCCCTGCTCGCTGTTCACTGTCATGTTTGTCTTGCTATTCTCTTCATGAAACAAGTTTTTGAACTGTGACAGTATATAGTTTTTTAAAACCCCCAAAGCACAGGTGAAGGGAGGAGAGGGGACACAGGGGCCATGGCCCAGCTGGAATCTGATTTAAAAAAATAAAGAATAAAAAAACAATACCTGTCACCTAAACCAAATGGCCTGGGGTCCAAAAGAACCCAAAAGTCCTGAATAGAGTTTAGAAGAAGCCATGTGAGGGTCAGACCGGTGAACCAGGCCGGTTCAGGGGGACGGTTCTGAGGACAGGCGTCCAAAGCAGGACCAGTCCAGCAGCTGTAGCCCATCATCAGCACCAGAGCAGGACAGACAGACGTTCCTCAGAGCAAATGAAGAACAACATTGTTCATAGAACAGAGGAGAGCATTGTGTTCATGTGTGTGTTCACATGTATGTGTCATGGTAATGCACCGTGAGCCATCAGGCTGTTGTTAACATGAGTCTGTGAATCAGTCTGAGGGTCATGAGCTGCTGCTGAAAGAAGCAGTTATTGTACATCCCATGTTGAACAAGTACGTTCTGACCAGAACCCTTTTCCACATCATGTTTATTTTGTTAGATCGATTTAATCAGGTTAGGTCTATGTTTAGTCATTCAATGTGAGTCCAAGTAAAGAGCACATCTGGAGAAGTTGCTGTAGGCTACATCTGCAAATAACGCAGTCATTGGCACCCCGTTGGCCCCCCGTAGGCCCCCGTTGGCACCCCGTTGGCCCCCCGTAGGCCCCCCGTAGGCCCCCCGTTGGCCCCCCGTAGGCCCCCGTTGGCCCCCCGTAGGCCCCCCATTGGCCCCCCGTAGGCCCCCGTAGGCCCCCGTAGGCCCCCCGTTGGCCCCCCGTAGCCCCCCGTTGGCCCCCCGTAGCCCCCCGTTGGCCCCCCGTAGGCCCCCCTCAAACTAAAACCTGGACTCGCCGCTGCCCCAAAGCAGCAGAATAATGTGTAAAGTCATCAGAGAACAATCATGTTTACATTTCATTCAGTCTGAGATGTAAAAGTCAGACTTTCACAGGAACCTGCAGCAGTTTGTTGGAGACTCGGTTCGGTTCGGTTCTGTCTGAACTCGTATAAGAAATAAATTGAAATCAAATAAAGTGTGACTGATGAATCAGGCACCTGTTCACAGATTCTGTGGGATTTTCAGGCGGAACCTGAAGTGTTCGGTTCGTCCAGAGCGGCTCACCTGTCCGGGTCAGTCGGACCACTGGGCTCAGCACCGCCTCCAGTAGCCGGCCCTGCCGCTCCAGCTGCCGCCGGTACTCCTCCACCTCCCGCTCCAGCAGCTCCACGATCCGCTGCGCCGCCGCCGCCAACCGCTCGCTGAGCAGCCGTCGCAGCAGCTGCAGCAGCCGGAGCGGAGCTCCGGGGCAGCCGGAGCCGCCGCTGCGCTTCTCCAGCAGGGACAACACCTCCTCCCCGACCCGGGACAGCTGCTCCGACACCGAATCCGCCAGGGCCCGGAGCCCGCAGCGCGACGAACCTTCTGCCTCCGACATTCCGGTACAGATCTCCGTCCGCGGACCAGGAGGAAGGAAAACAGCCCGGCCGGACTCGGTCTGTCCGGGTGAAAGAGCTGCCAGTGAGCCGGAGGAGGCTGGAGGCTGCCCCCTGCTGGACTGGAGGAGACACTGCTGCCACTGAAAGAGCACTACTACAGTACTACTGATAGAGTACTACTACAGTCCTACTACAGTACTACTACAGT